AAAGGTAGGTGGGGGTCAGGGGCTGGTCTGCCACACAAGGAGTTTGGGGAGCTGAGGGACATCACTATTTCTAAGCAGGGAATGTTTATGGCAAAAATGACCATAGCATGTAAGGTACAATTATTGGCCTGTCTTCCTGTCTGGAGAAAAGAAGAGTGATGAGAATTGAAGATGCGGTAGGCATGGGAACAGTTAGTCCAGCAGACCAATGGGTAATGTGAACATCAATCTTTTAGATCCTGAGACCAGGAGAACTAGATGGTGCCCAGCTGCCACTGTCAACTGCTCTGGAAAAGATCATATTAGCAGGCCCTGAATAGTATGGGAAGATGTGGAACAAAACCCAGACTTACTGTTCAGATACTGGTGAGACCCAAGACTATAGCCCTTGTTCACCTTTCAGGTCTAGAACTTAACTTATTCTCATGGCTGAATTTTCAGCCTAACAATGGTGGTGTTCGTTGTTGTTAAGTGTCCTGGAGTCAGTTCTGACTCATAGTGACCCTTTTTAGGGTTTCTAAGGAGTAGCTGCTGAGCTTGAACCACAAACTTGCAGTTCAAACTGACTTTGCCATCAGCATATTAACCCACAGTACCACACCAGGACTCCAAACAATAAGGGAAAAATAACACTAGTGAGGAACACACACTTTTTTTTTTTTAAGTTTTTATTGTGAATTATGTGAGTTTATAGGAGAGAACACCAGCTTTACATTCATCCTTGTATTTTGTTTCATTGCAATGCTGACAATCCCCTCCATGAATCATCAAACAACCAAAGGGTACAGCCCACAGGCCTGCCCCATGGCCATCAGCACACAGCCCCTCTTCCTCCCTGAGTCCAGAGTCCCTAGCCACTCCATCTGTCCACTTCATCATCTCTGCCTCCATTTCTGGTGTCACTGCTTCTCTGGGCAGGGTCCCACACTCTGCTCTTCTCACTTGATGGTCCCAGGGACCTCTGCTCCTGGACTGCAAAGTCAACCACTCCCCTCCTTTTGTTACAAAACATTTACCTTTACATTTCCAATCCTCACAGTCAGTCCTGATAGCAATTATTCACAATTGTACCACAAGAGTCTTATCCCTATCTCCTTTCATCAGCCTGGTCCCAATAGATTTGAAACCACTCAGTAGAGATTCTACCTTCCCCTGCTCCCTCTGGAACTAGGCTCCCTCTTGAAAGCTTGTAAGTCAGTCACTTCTTACCTTTGTAGCCCCCCCATTTTGGGTGGCCAATGTCTAAGTTGCCCATCCCTGTCAACCCAGGTACACACACTTTAGAACAATCAATCATTTGAGATCATTGGACAGCATTTACTTAAGGACAAAACTTAGAAGGGTTAGGAAAGGAGGAAGAGAAACAAAAAACAAAAGGAGGAAGTCTGACAAGTAACATTACATTGAGGAGATTGCAATCCAGAAAAAACGAAGCATGTGATTTGTTAAATGTAAAACTGATGATCTGTTCTGTAAACCTTCACTCAATTCACAATAAAAAGTTAAAAAAAAATGACCATGTTGTTGTTGTTAAGTACCGTCGAGTCGGTTCTGACTCAGAGACCCTTTTACAGGGTTTCCAAGGAGCTTGAACCACTGACATTTCAGTTCGAACGGCTTTGCAGTCTGGCGCATTAATCCAGAGTGCCATGCCAGGGCTCCCCATGGCCATAGCAACATGGAAAGCACAGATTAAGGGAACCACAGAGACTGGGAAGACTATTGATGGCAAAAGAAAAGACAGGAAATATCAGAGAGGGACCAAGTGTGGGATGGGGGTGATAATAAGTTTTGTTTGGGAGATTGGGGTATCTGGAACTGTGGAGCCAGGACAGAACACAAGTCTGTAGCTTCAATCTGAAGATAGTTCCAACCTCACCCTCTCATAACAGCTAACACTGAGGGCCTACTGTATTGTTCCTCTCTGTTCTAAGTGCTTTGTGTGCCCCCGCAGCTACCAACCCTCAAGGAAGTAGTATCTGTCCTCATTTTAGTTGAAGGAAATGAGGCCCAGGGACTCATCTAAGGCTACTCAGCTTGGAATAGAACCAGGTTTGACCCAGACAGTCCAGGTGGAAAGTACATGCTAATTACCACCAAATTGCATTGCCTATTTTTCTCCCTATTTTACTAGATTTTGTAAGTGCATCTAAGAAGCCCTAGTGATGCAGTGGAAAAAGCTTTGGGCTGTTAATCTCAAGGTCAGTGGTTCAAACCCACCAGCCACTCAGTGAAAGAAAAATGTGGCTGTCTTCTCTCAAGATTTGGTTTTAGAAATCTAAGGCGTTCTACTCTGCCCTGTAGAGTCACGATGAGTTGGAAGTGACCTGATGCCAGTGGGTTTGGAATTATGCACAGAAGAGGTCATCAGTGGGTCAGAGGTAGAATCCTCACCTTCCATTCAGGAGACTCAGTTTGATTCCCAGCGGATGCACCTCCTGTACAACCATAGTCTGTGGAGGTTTGCATGTTGCTATGCGGCATTGCAGGGTAAAGCACTGGACCACAAAGTCGGCTTGAGCCACAAGATTGGCTATTCAAACTCCCAGCCGCTCCTCAGAAACTCTACATAGGGTTGTTGTTGGTATCAAGAACCAGCTCGATGGCACTTAACAAACATGATGTAGAGTAGGTTTCAGCGGGATTTCCAGAGCAAGACAAACTAAAAAGAAAGGCTTGCAATTTACTTCCAAAAATCCATCAGCAGACTATGGCCCTTGCCCACCCTTCAGAACTCACTCCTGTGGCTGTTTCAGCCAAGCAGTAAGTATATAGGGGGGGCAACATTAGGGAGGTGCTCATACCACAGAATGGCCAACCAATCAAGATTAAAAGGACAACATTGATTCAAGGACAAAGATCAGAAGAGTTGGGAAAGAAGGAAGAATGGAGACAAGAAACACAGGAAGTGGAATAGTGATGTCTGAAGGGATTGCAATCATTGAGCCGAAACCAAGTATATGATTTGTTGAATGTAAAACTGATGATCTGCTCTGTAAACTTTTACTCAATTCACAATAAAAGGTTAAAAAAAAAAAAAAAATCAGCCAGTTAAACCCTATGGATCACAAGGGTCTGATTTGCAATGGATCATGGGGATGATAAAGGACCAGGCAGAATTTCGCTCTGTTGTGCATGGAATTGCCATGAAACCAGGGCCAACTCTAGGCAGCAAGCAACATGTGCGTGTACAGAAGTAGGAAGGCACTGGACAGGTAGTTGTGTATGAAAAGGTAAGAGCCAGAGGCCCTGCATTTCTATGGAAGAAACTTTGGAGAGGGAGGGGCTACAAGCCTTGGCAACATTAGCTCCTGATGGCCTGGCATCTGAATGAGGGACAATTCCCTGCCTTTACACTGGTAATGGATCCTGTTTCCAGCTGCAGAGGACACCACAACTTTCTGGCCAGTCCTGAGTAGGGCATGGTAGAGGGCTGCCAGGCTGATGGGGAATTGTTGGCCTCTGTGTGGCCTCTGGGCACCGTAAACCATAGCAGCTTGGTGTCCGTTAGTACTGGCTGTGCAGGAAAGGGAGTCTACTTTTGTCGACCATAGAGAGCCATGCTTTGAGCAGACACAGTAGTTTATACAGAAAGACAGGAAAGGAGAGGTAGAAGGGAGAGCAGGCTGTGGCCACATCCACTCCTGAAAGTGACGGCACCTTGGTAACCGCTGGAGACTGCATGAGGGCAGAGCCAAGGCGAGGGGGCATGCCTCAGTGCGCTGGCCAGGCCAACAGAGCCGGCAGCTGAGCAGGTGGGGCAGGAAGGAAGAGACATCCTCTCAAAGGGCAAGGGACGAAGAGAAGCAGAAGTCCCCTCGGTCAGCACAGCAGCTCAACGCTGGACAGAGTCCACTCGGGCCTTTTCCGTCCTTCCACATTGAGACAGTTTTACCTCAATATTCCACACCAAAGACTTCGTGTTTCAACCCCAACTCCCCTGAAAGGAGGTGACCAGACAAGGATTGGGGGGAAGCGATGGGCTGACATGAATTGATAGGGGCAGCTTCGAGCAGTTCCTGCTGCCTTATCTCCGTCTCCTTTGGATAGCGTGTGTCCGCCCGAGTCCGCGGGGTCGGTGATTAATAGGGGCCATCACTCACTGTCCAGGACGGCTGAAAGGCAGCGGGGAGGGGGCGGCCCTCCCCAGAACTGAGATAACAAGCAGCAGGAATAATGAGTGATGTCACTCCACTTTTCATTTTGATGGAAAGTCATTACGGGAGTCAACGCCAGCGACAAAGAGCCATGAATCAACTGCTCTGCTATGAAATTAAAATCGAATTGCTGGCCACCCCCAGCCCCTACCCTGCCTGGGAAATAGGGATGGGTTGGCTTGGGAGAGAGAGGGGTGCTGTCCTGGGGTGGGCTGGATCCAATCACAGAACAGGCAGTTATGGGGAGGAAGTGGACAGGCAGCTAGTGGAGGTGACAACTCTTGTCTCCACCTTGTTTATCAGACCCTTCCTCTTCAAACCACACTTTCCCTCTGCCTGGAGGTAAGCTGTGATTAAAAGGAAAACACGGCTTTGCTGGCTCCCCGTGGGCTGCTGGCCTGAGTGTGACAGTCTGGCCCTGGCTGTTGAGAAAGGGCCCCAGATGATTCAGTTATCCCGCCCTTTGCTGACCATTTGTAGAGAGCAAGCTGGGCCAGAGGTAAAGCAGAAACATCCTTAACCTAGGGCTCCAATGGCCCAGGGAGCGCACCTGGCTCAAGTCCAGACTTAGAGACGCAGGGCAAGTAATGGTCAGTCATCAAGCAAAAGTCTTTCTTCTTTTATTACTGCCCCACTGGACCAAGCACACAGAGCAGAAGCTGTGGTCTCAGGCTGAGGGGGCCATAGGACCAATCAAACAGCTTCTCATGGAGAATGCAGAGGGGACAGTCTCCACTGGGTGAGGGAATGGTCTCTTGTCAGAAAGGGTCCTGAAACATCAACTCTTAATGGAGGGCCCCTCCATCATGAAGGCTGAGAAGACAGGCAAAATGTGAAGGGGTGTCACTGAGAGGCTCCCATCAGGTTCACGGGACGCCCGTTGTACCTCTTGGAGATGTCATCTTCGATCTGAAAGACAGCAAGGGCATGTAGGTGGGAAGCAGAGAAGGGAAGGGACCTCGCTCTGCAGAAGCTGGGTCCCCCCACTGGGCAGGTTTCCCGTTCCTGTCTCACCAGCTTTTGCAGCTCCCTGGTCTTCTCTAGCAGCAGGTCCAGCTTGGGTTCCAGGGCCGCCTGCTCCTGAAATGCTTCCTGCTGCTTCTGCACCATGAGCTCTTTCTTCAGGGCCAGCAACTGGGACTGCTTCAGCTTTTGCTGGAGGAACTCAGTCACCCGGTTCACATACCTGTGCAGGGCGCTCAGGTAAGTATATGGGACAGGTGTGCACCCTAGGCATTCCCATTCAAATGCTGGGAAAGGTGAGGCTCAGGAAACGGAACCCCAGTATGGCCTCTCAGCCTCCAAATCCTTTTTTGTTGAGCATAATTCATTCCTGGTCCCTGCTCCTGAGAAATAAGATTCTGCCTGCATACATGAAAATATTCCCTCTTGCCCCAGAGAGAACCCCTGAGGTACAGAAGGTGATGTTACAGGAGGCAAGGGAGAGGGACAGGGCCCATGAAGAGGACTACCCAGGGATAGGAGCTGCTAAATATGGTGGATGCTCCCAACCAGCCCAACTCAAGGGCATAGTCAGACCTTGGTGAAGCTAGGATCATAAATAGGTGTTGCATTCGAAGATTGGTGAGCTGGCCAATCAGATCCTGTAGCACGGACACCATGGTAACCATCTTCCCCTTGGTCTGGCCCTGCAGGATGGCCGGAGCCAGCTGGAACTGGCTCACCGACAGGATGTCTGCCTCCTCACCCATCTCCACAGCTCTCTGGGACAGGAAGATCTCAAGCTGAGGGCAGAGGAGAATTTGGTTTAAACTAAGAGAAGACCTCAGAAGCTGTGTCTTGAGTTACTCGAAAAACAGGAATGGGGGGTGGGGGGGTTAGATTCTGGCCGAGGAGAGATGATTTCCTCTGACCAATGTTACTGTTAGAAGCTCACCAATGACAAGGAGAGAGCATGGGGCCGCCTCATTCTTGCATCCCCCATGGCGTGACTTGGGCCTGACCCAGGGCACTGCACCTCCCAGTGGATCAGAGAACTAAGAAGGCAGACAAAAGATTCTCCTGCTCCATGGAAGATAACTTCTCTCCATGGGTGGAAAGAAATATAGAGACTAGGGATCCACATGGATTAAGGCTGAAAAGAGCTGAAGAACCAGCTGTGTGTTTTGTCTATCTTACTGTCCTCCTCTCTCCTTGAGGCTAGGAGGGGCCTCTTTCAATGGAAAAAAAGTGGCTGAGGGCTTTCATATAAGGCCCTTCCCTTCCAATCAGAAGGAGATTGGGAGGGAACAGAACCAGAGAGAGAGTACGGCGAGGGGTCCTCATCTGCTGGGTCCCACAACTAAGGTCCTAGGACACTGGCTCCTGACTTGGCTGCTCAGCATCATAGCCACAGGGGTGGTACTGAAGCCTAACGATCACCTTGCTCTTCTGCTCAGACGCCTCCACCAACCTCCTGCTTTCCTCAGTCAGCTCCCTCCACTCAGCCACACTAGCCTCCTCTTCCTCAAGTGTATAGGGCCCACCCACCTGGAAGCCTTCTTAGTGGTGGCTCCAGCTGCCTGGAAAACTTCTGCCAGATACCTGCTTGGCTTTCTCCACAACTCCTGCAGATCTTGACTGAAAAGATGTCTCTCTCAAGGCCTTCCCTAAGCACCCGCTGCTAGAAACCTGCAGCCTTTTCCCGACAAGACAATCTCCATCTCCCTCCTGCTTCCTCTGTGGCACAGTTGTACTTTTCTATGTTGCTTACTTATCTGTACATATTTATCTTGCTTCTCATCTGCGTTCCCACTAGAATAGAAGCTCCATGAAGCCAAGGACTTTGTTTTATTCACTGCTGATCCCAGGTGCCCAAGGCAACCAGGGATCTAGGATGTGTGTAATAAATATTTGTTGGGTGAATAACCCATGAGGCCCCTGCTCCAGAGCACAGGAAGCCCCCAGGTGCCCCTCACACCTCCCTCAGGGAGGGGGCAGGCTGGATGTGGGACCTCACCTCCATGAGCTCATCGATGAACTGATTCCGAGTCTCAGGGTACTCAAGGAGCGTCAGAGCATCCGGGCCCCTAGCGACACCTTCTGGAGCTGCCAGGAAGAGAGATGGAAAGGCAGTAAATTTTTATGGATCTCAGGACTGAAGAAGGGAAAGAGCTCAAGTTTGAGAAAGGTAGGAGGTGGGGTAAGAGTGGGGTATTAACATGGACACAGACCCACAACATTAAAGCCACTTCTTGTCCCAACCACAGGAGGAAGAGTTACCCTTTCCCATATGACTCAGCTCTAACTAGGCACTCAGATCAGCCCTCAGTGGGCAAGGCCCTCAGAACCGAGTAGCTTCAGAGTGGAAAGGCCAGCTTTTGGCTCCTCTGCTGGTGGCAGGAGGTAAAGTTTCATCCTGCACTGCCCTCTAGTGGCTCAGGTCATTGCTACAGCCTATGCTGGAGGAGAGGGACATGGGTCAGAACCCACAGCCCATAAATTTCCAGGAACCCCTGCCAGGATGGATGGGACATTTGGTCTCCAAAAAGTTGAGTTTTAGCCTTCACTTGAAGAACCTTGCCCTCTCCCTCTCCATTCACATTCTCATCAAAATTTCAAGAAAACAGTTAAATGTACAAGTATACTGTTCTTTGCTTCTAGACTTGGGCCTTGAGCTTGTCACTTCTGTAGGGGCAGCAGGGAAGTGCACTCACCCTCGGTTCCGGCTTCCAGCACGGTGATCTGCTGAGCAGCAGCAGCATCTCCCCAGTCGATCCCATCACTCCCCGCTTCCTGAATGAGAGAACAAGGAGCCCCCAGAGTGTCAGAACCTTTTCCCTGGCATAGCTGGGCTAAGCCTTGGTCAGTTCAATGGGACCACATGACTAAAGACACATACATAGGTGGACAAGTAGGAGTTATGGGTTCACTTGTGTTACCATGCCTTGTAGAGTTTGCACCTGCCTATGCTCCCACGCCTCACATGAAACAGCAGGGGCTAAGTTTCCACCTTGACTCTGTCCCTTTTGAAATTCTGACTATCCTTGGTCTTAGAACTCAGAACCAGATACCACTTTTCTGCTGATTGCAGACAATTCTCAGAGAAACAAGTCAGAGCACAGCCTGACCTTTGAGTCCGAGTCCAGCGAGATGCCCCAGTCGATTCCCGAGGCCTCAGCAGAGATGCCGTAGTCAATCCCTTCAGATGCTGCCTCTGCCCCAAAGTCACCCCAATCGATCTAGAAGGGGAAAAAAGTGTTTGTACAAAGCGGTGGGAAAAGAGGGGCCTGTCTTCCCACAACCTTCAGAGGCTCCTTTGGAGAGCTTAACTGTGTTCAAATGCAGTGGCCTCTTAACTCGTCAAAAGAGAGCACATCTTTGGAGAGCTCAAATGAGCCAACGGCTCCTGGCTTCAGCTTGCTGCGCCTGCTCTCTATCAGGTCTCAAGAAGACCAGGGGCAAAAGGAGTAGAGCCTTCTGGACCCTTCCACCTAGTCTCTCTCCCTCCTTTCTTTCTGCTGAGAATCTGAACCCAGGTCATGAGGGCTTGGGCTGGGAAGCACCTACTCACACACACATCATCCATGAGGTAGGTGCCTCCTGACAAAGCTGGTCTTACCGCATCTTCTTCCACTGGCTCAGGAGGCGCCTCAAGATGTGACCGCTCTATCACGGAGGGCTCTGTCCCCGTCCTCCATTCGTACACTGTTGAGTTTCCTAGCTTCTGTACATATCTCAGCATTGGCAACACCTGCTCTGTGGGGCTTCAACAAATCACATAACTGACCCACCTGAGGACCACTCACAAAGTGAACACTGACCTCCAGCCTGGGCTACATGTTGTTGTTGTTAAGTGCCATTGAGTCGGTTCTGACTCATAGCAACCTTGTCTAGGGTTTCCAAGGAGGGGCTGGTTGAGTTTGAACCGCTGACCTTGTGGTCGAGTGCTTATTCTTCAGTGCCACTCCAGGACTCCTTATATGAGGGGGCTTTAAAAACTTCATGGAAAAAATGGAATGAAAAATGACGGAATTTTTTCCAAGAGCTTTCAAAGCCCTTTTGTATGGTCAAATGGGTAAGGATTCCACAGAATTAAAGTGTGTAAAATAAAGCTAAAATGTCACATGAGAAAAATGCAAGTGGAACAGACAGAAGACACAGAGCACACAGGAACACTTTCCTCCTGCTAGTGAGAAACAAAGGCCCTCATTACCTTTCACACAGAAAGCCCACGCAGGCCTCGTACAAGTCAATGGCTTCCCCCAAGGACTGAGCTGCTGCTCCAATGTCAGTCAGCTGACTCGGCAGGTCCTTCACTAAGGCCAGCAGTTCTCTTCGAACATTGTCACCCTGGAGAGGGTAGAAGAGGCAGAAGTGGTGGAGAGCAGAGTCCAACAGATGAAAAGAAATATCAAGGCAGCAGGTGGGCTAGACCTAGCCTAAGCAGGGAGCAGGTGTGGGCTAGGAAGGGACTTTCTGCCATCAGGTAAGGAGCTGGGTGACGAGTGGGCTCCATGGCTTCTCGAAGGCCAGCCTGGTGCTCTGTCAGGCCCTCCGGCTTGCTCACCGTGATGCCGTACTGCTTGCAGGAATGGTAGAATTGCTCCCGCATCTCAGCAGCCCCTGCCTGGCCCTCCTCCTCCTTGCGGCTGTACTCTCGCTGTAGCTGCTGGCACTTGGCAATCTGCTTCTTCAGTGAGGGGATCTCATAACTGACATTCCGAACCAGGAGGCTAGAGAGCTCCACTAAGGAGGGCCCAGAAAATGCACTTCAGGCCAAGCACAACATAAGGCAAGTCAGTGGGCCTCAGGACACCCACAGATAAAACCTAGTGGTGGTGAAGGGCAGGGGCTGGCTTCCCAGGTGCCCCCTTTCTAATAGGTGCAGTCATTTAACCTGCTAGTCCAAACCTCATCCATAAAATAGGGACAATGCTTTCACAGGAAATACTTATGAGTGGTTAAGGAGAGAAGCCATTTAAGATAGCAAGCCCAACTCCGTAAGTATAGGAAGTGCTCAGCAAAATACTGGTTGCTATTATTTATACTGTTAGAAAACACAAGCCAAACTACAAGCAGCCCCTCAGTTGCTCCCTGTCAGGTGCTGGATAGTGGCCCCCAGGATGACTGGGTGGGGCACTCCACTCCACCTCACACACCTCCTCTGCTCCCTCTTTCCCCACCCCCACAATGTTCTTTGTAGAAATTATTTTCCCACCTCACCTACAAGCAACATCTATATCCCAGCCTCTTCCCAAACTCTGGGAATCTGTTCCCCACCCACCCACCCCCACCACCAGGACTAGGTCACTTTACCTAAATAGGTGTTGTCCTTCTCATATAGGGCTACAATCTCCTGCCAATCCTGAGTGAGAACAGAAAAAGGAGGTGGGCCAGAGACGCAATCAGCAGCCATAGCCCAGCTCAGGCCCCGAACAGGGGAAACTTCACCTAGTCTTTGCATCAGAAATAAATTCCTAGTGTTCCTTCAACTCCTAGTACTGGCTGGACCACCCACTTTAAGAGTGTGGTGCCAACAAGGGACCCTCAAAGCGGCAGGTCTGAAAATTTCAACCCAAGGGATAGGATCTACTACTTTTGGCATAAACTATGGGGACAAAAGGAAAGTTTAGGAAATAGTTTACAGAGGTGTCTCCCACCATATCCTCAGAGAAACTAGGGAGGTTCTGACCCCACAGACTGGTAGCACTAGCTACCTGTTCTCAGCCCTGGGCCCCACACTCGCCTTCATTCGCTGTGAAGAATACCGGCCAAATATATTTTTCGTGGAGGCCTCAGTCCCCTTGAGAAGGTCCACAATTCTTAGGCAGTGAAAGTAGTGAATGTCTGGAAAGCCAGGAAGAATGACAAGATTCCAGAATTCCAATTTGAGAATTTTCCATCTACTCTAACCACCACAATTTACAGTGCATGGCTGGCTCGTGTGAACATGCCGAGCTCTCCCACTTTTTAAAATCTCTTTCTAGGGGTCATCCCAGTGGCTAAGCAACACAGACTGCCCTGGGAAGGCAGGGATTCCAGCAGTGTAGCCCCAAAGCACTCACAGGATCCCGAGAGCAGCTGGGCAATCTCCGTGTTCTCTGGCATGTCCTGGATGGCAGAATTGATCTTCTCCCGGATCGTCAGCACCAGACTCTGCCATTTCAGGTTGCAATGCCTTCTGTCCACAAGCCAGTCTACATGAGAAACACCCGAATCACCGCATTCCACTCCCTTTATTCACATGAAATAGGCTGAGACCCCGTGGGGGGGGGGGCGGGCCAGGAGGGCTTTGTATTGGTTAAGGTATGGGTGTCATGGATGGGAAGATGGGAATCAAGACTGACCCAAAGGGATGCTTGGGGTTAACAGACTCCAGTAACCTGACTTTATCCTCAGATGACTTTTATAGAGCAATTGCATTGACACAGGAATTGAAAAATAAAAACCAAAACTTTAAATTGGTCCTGACGTGACAGTGCCACTTTTGACACTCTCAAGTCTCAGTATTTTTGCTTCTGTGGGTAATTACATCTTTCTTGTTGACAGGGGATGTTGTTTAACTTCCACTTCCTCAGGGCTGGGATTAACCATGACAATGGAAAATGCAAGATGGTTATGCTAATTACCGGACAAAAGGAAGAACATCTGTAAAGCCCCTAATACCTCCAGCGCCACAAGGACTAGATAACATTGGTCTATGCTTACCAGTGAAGCGCACACCTTACATGAGAACATCAAAGTGACTGGTCTCCCAGAATCTGAGGCTGGATTTGTGCTTTTAGAAGGTATGAGTAGACCAAGGAGTCCTGATGGCACAACCGTTAAGTACCTGGTTACTAACCAAAAGGTTGGTGGTTCGAAGCCACCTGGTAGCTCCATAGGAAAGACCTGGTGATATGCTTCTGAAAAGATTATGGCCAAGAAAACCCAATGAGGCAGTTCAACTTTGTCACTTGGGATCCGTCACTAGGAGTTGGTATCAACACAATGGCACAAACAATATGAGTGGACCCCAAGCTACGCACTCATTTCCTCAGCAGGAAACAGCTAAGAGCTAGGCTTTGTGGTCAGATGATTCTGGCAAGCCTCTCAACCGCTCTGTGCCGGTTTCCCCCCATGTAAAATGGGGGGGGGGGGGGGGTAGTAAGATACTGAGTCCTGGTGTGGCGCTGTGGGTTAATGCACCAGCTGCAAAGCTGTTTGAACTACAAGGTTGGCGGTTCAAACTCACCAGCTGCTCCTTGGAAACCCTATCCAGGGTCGCTATGGGTCAGAACCGACTCGAGGGCACTTAACAACAACAACAAGATACTGAGGATAAGGAGTTATGTAAGTAAATTACTCCCTGTTGTGCTTTGCACAGGGCAAAACCTCAAGAAATCTTAGTTATCCTGAACAGGAACAGGTAAAAATCATTCACTGCTCTCTCCACCCAAGAGACAAGCTAGAATGCTAATCAGGTTATGGGATGGGACCAATCACCCTGGTTTCCCGCCTGTCCTCAAACAGTTCTACGTCCTGGCCCCTCCCCAAGTCTAACCCCATATAAGCCTGTGTTGCCCTCCATTAGGGTCTCAGAATTTGGAGAAATCAGCTCCCCTGAGCCAGCCAGCTTAATAAAGTCTGAAACTCACTTCACCTCTCCGAGTGGCCTCAGTTTCGTCAACCACGAATCTAAAACCCCCTTGAGCCACTGGATCGGAGTCAGGGAGTAGCTGATGGCAAGCTCCCCTCCACGGATGAGATGGCGCACCACCGCCATATTTGATGGTCTCTCCTCCTCCGAGTGGGGGCAGCCAGCTGCCACACCTACCTCTCCCAACCGGACTCGAAAGGAGAGGTGAACCACAGAACCAACCGGCCAGGCCTTCTGGAACAGGTAAGGCCCCGGGACCCGGGTTAAACCCAGTCAGGCCTGACCCTAAGGACAGAAGTGGAAGGCTGATCCCCTTCCAAGGCCTCACCTAGAGGCCTCAGTCAGGGACTCTCCAAAAAGGGGGCGTGGAACTGCCATAAACTCTGTGTGACTGGTTGAATGCAAGTGTACATGTAACTGAAGTACAGCTTGTCATGTCTGGTCTGTGTGGTTTCATGGCACCAACTATGGAATACTTAGGTGATATGGGGAATTCTCATAGTGAGTCAACAGTCTTAGAATGTATGTTAACGAATTTTTAAAAAAAAGGGAAGTCTTGTGTGCAGGAGTGTTTAAGTGTGTCTAGTACCGGGCTGGTAGCGAATCTCATTCCATTTAAGGAGATGGTCCTCACTGCTGGCACGGAGTGGACTCCTGGTTTGAAACTCTCCAGAGCTAAGTGACACTTGAAAATTCTCACGCGAGAAACAGCAAAATCTGGACACCATCTGTCTGTCGTGAACATACAGCCATGAGTGGCCCATTGGCCGCTTGGACAGGTGGGCCGAGGAGCACAGTAACCCAACACTCCTTGCAGCTGCCGAGAACCTTTTCCTGGGAGTCTTCAGCCCTGTGTCTCCTGAACTCACCTCTGCCTTCACTTTGAGATTCCCTTTTGCTTTATTCTGGGTGTGCACAGCGGTACGTGGTAGACAGGAAGTAATTTCCTAAAAGTGCCCCTCCTGTTTCTGTTAAGGTTAACCTCTGTACCTAAAATAAAATATAGACCTCAATCTGAAAGAAAAGTGCTGTAAAGTGTAATTCTAACTGGCTTCTATAAGGGTCCCCCTTAGACATCAAAGGAAATGGTGTTTTACTATAATACAGCTTGGCCAATGTACGATCTAGATGATGGGAAAAATCACCTTTGAATGGATCCTTCAAATTATTATACCATCTTACAGCTTGAATTGTTAAACCACTGTGTCAGATTGTCTATTTGTTTGTAAAATTACTATGTTTTTGTCCTGTATTTATATTTAAGAAACTGAAAACAACCCGAATTCCAAGAATATGTAAGTTATATTGTGTAGATGTACTATACTGCACTTATACTGCTAACATGAAAGCCAAGCAGAGGAAAAATGAATACAGATGAGTATTAGGTAAAAACAGTTCTAAACAGGCCTGTACGTGAATATGTTGTTGTTGTGTTGTTATGTGCCATCGAGTCGGGTATACAGAGATAGAAATGGTTACTTTTTTGTGAAATATAGCTTTTGATTGTAACCTTGTCTTACTACAACTTTTGGTATACCAGCAGCTGCCATTAGAGAAAATTGTAACTTGACCTAGTGAACTTGCCTGAGCCGCTGAGGAAAGCAGTTTGGAAGTGATTTCTCTATACCATCCCCTTCAAGGGACCCATTTTGGTAGAGGGCTACCCAGAACAGAGGCAATACCAATACCCCCTCTGCAGATGCCCATAGGATTCAATATGGAAGGGCAAGCTGCAAGATATTATTGGGGTCGCTATGAGTCGGTTCCGACTCGATGGCACCTGACAACAACAACAACTTCTTTCTCTATCTTGGACTTGTTAAATAGGAAAAATGCAAATCCTTCTTATTGAGATGTTATTGTTTAGTGTTGTCGGGTCGGTTCAGACTCATGGAGACCCTGTGCAGGGTTTCCAGGCTGTAAATCTGCAGGAGTGGAGGGCCTCATCTTTCTCCCACAGAACAAGTGTTAGTTTCAAACTGCTGACCTTGTGGTTTGCAGCCTGATTCGTAACCACTACGCTACACTGGAGCACTATAAAAGGTGCATTCTAAGAAGTCTGAAACATGGAGTTCCTAAACAAAAGAACTCGAACACAGTACAGACAGTTCAATAGAAGCCTCTGAATTCTTTAAATGAATCTACCAGGCTTACTGTAAGTACACAGACCTTGATCCCGAGAACTCAGCAAACATCCAAATGGTTAACATGATTTTTATCTCCCAAAGCACCCAGGATTTTAGAAAGAAACAGCAGAAATTCGACAGGGCATCTGGCATGAATCCATCTCAACTGGCGGACATCACCTTCAAGGTATTTAACAGCCGAGAGTGTGAGAAATCTCAGGCCCTAACTGTCTTCCTAAAAGACCACTGGAGGTAAGCCTGTGGGACCCCAGAGAAGACCCTGGAAAGGAACGAGGGTCTTAAGCAAGAACTGATGTACTTATGCAAAAACCTGGACGCTGAAAAAATAAATGCCCAAATCTCAGGAGAGGATCTGGCAGAAAAAGCCATCCAACTCAATAGATGGTTGAACAAATTTCAATGTCTGCAGAAGACTAACAGTGTCATGGGGTAAGGGGCTCAGAATGATTTGGCATCAACCTCTGCCACCCCTATTACCCCCACCCCTGGGACAGTGATGGTGACTGAGATCTCAGGGCAGCCTGAGAACCAGTTCTTCCTGAAACCCCTGGACTGCTTCACTGGGGAAAAGAAAATAACTGTCTGGTCCCCTTACTGGGTCAGGACCTGCTTCCAAATTTGTATGTTCAAACAGCTTTCAGAAACCAAAAGTCTGCAGATGGAGGTTCCTCATGAACATGGCTGGCAATTACTGATTCAAACTCTGGAAACAAGTCACATTGGCCTGAGGAAACAGACAATCAGGTAAACCCCTCGTGTGGACTAGTGGAACTCCGGAAAGAACCAACAAGCATCCCCTGTCGAGGTCTGATTGAAGCCTGGAAACTGACCATCCCACAGAAACCAATATCCTCTCAGGAAAGAGGCTGAAAAAATGCACTCTTAGCCAGCTCATCCCTGTCCCCATTAAGCCAGCTCCCTGGTGCAAAAGAAGGGAAGCCTATGGCCCACAACAGGACAGATAGGCAATACCAGGTTATTTTGCTGGACAATCCGAATATGACCCTGTGAATTAAGGGGCGACTAACCCTGCCATCCTCCTCCCTGATGTGGCAACTGGAGGGCTGAACCATGATTATAGAAATCATTGACCAATTATTCTTCAGCCAACCTGACCTCTTTGACTATATCTGGTAGACTAGACATTATTCATGAACAGAATTAGTTACATGGAAAAAGGGACTCGGATAACAGTGTGTAATAGTAATCTTAAAAGACCCAGGTAGAGGCAATAGCCCTCCTGCTGGGGATCTCAGCTCAAAAAGCTGAACTGATTGTACTGAAGAGGGCATTAGAAATGTTGGCAAGAAAAACTGAATGTGTACCCAGAGGACTTTAGTAGAACTGAGGCAGAAGGATTTGAGATAGGGGTTAAAGGATGAAAAGTAAATGACAATGGAATTGTTCCAGTTCTGAGAAGTTAAAAGCTAAAAAGTAAATGGCTTTTTAATAGAATGGTTCTGATCCTGTGAAAACTAGCCCCTGCTCTTCTTAAATGAGTCCATGAGATGACCCACTACAGGAAAGAGGCCCTAACTTGGTTCATTAGGCCCTGGCACTAGGGCAAGAGATTTTTTTAAAAAGTCATTCAGGAGGTTAGCTCTGACTGTTACCTGCCTCAAGAACAATCCCAAAACAGGCTGTCCTGTACCAATATTAAGGTAAACAACCCCTTGAAAATTAACAGGTTGATTTCATGCAGATGCCCTCCCCAAGCTGGGAAATTAAATATTTGCTGGTTTTGTTTTTGTAGACACCTTTTCTGGTTGGGTAGAAGTTTCCCCCCAACAAAACTAAGAACATCAGAAATAGTGTAAATCCTTTTGAAGGAGATTACCTCTAAGTTTGGACTTCCAGAGTGTCCAAAGTGACAACAGAGAAGCAAACACCTACAGATTAAATGGAGATTGCATTCAACGTGGAGGTTCGAGAAAATGAACCAGACACTAAAGAGACAAATGACAGAACTGTCAGGAAATTTCTCTACATCGGGACCAGGTGTTGCCTTAGCCCTGTTTCTAATTCAGGGAGCCCCCAGAAGTGGGCTTAAATTGAGCCCCTTATAAAGTTGTATACAGTTGACCTTCCCAGGTAGCTTCCCTTAATCCTCTACCTGACCTCAGCCAAGGTTTAAAGGTGCAGTGATATGCGCAACACCTCTACCACACACATTCTATTATTTGTAAAACTGCTCTTCCCAGGTCTGCTTTCTTCTCTACAGGTAACCTGATCCCTTTCAGCCTGGAGATCATATTCTGCTCAGAACATGAAGAGACGACCTGAAAACCAGTTAGAAAAAAGTGGACTGGACCCTGGGAAGTCCTTCTAGCCACCCCATCTGTCAAGTTAGCCAGACTCCACTTGGACACAAAGGGACTCTCAAAGACATTATTCTTTTCAAAGGGATGAAAAACATTTGGGCCTATTTAGCTCAGAGTGTAATAAATGTATCTGATTTGTTTTTCCTTTTGGGAGGGCATCCAGAAGCATCGGCAAAGATGACTGAGGGCTGGAACAAGAAATTATCTCAAGCCCAGCAGCCAGGGTAAAAGGAGTCCCCACCTGGATTCACCACAGCAAACTGAAGAAAGCCTCATCTCCATGAGAAGCTGAAACTGACACTACGAACCCTCACAAGGTAAGACTGCGATGTACAACCCACCCTGCTTCAGCCACAAACTGGGAGCTGGATGATCTACGCACGCCCAAAGCATGAGGATGTCCACTGTGGGACTCATTTTAATTAGACTTTGGAGTGTGAGAAATGGAGAAATCTGTGTAATCTATACACCCACACCACCAAGGTGGGCCAAACAGTAACCACACTACTCTTTTATAGTTGCTATAAAAGAGAGGGCACCCTCCTAGGTAACTGAATCTATAACCAATGAAACTGGGGTGGCCCTAACCCTTCTTGTGTGCCAACAAACCCAGATACGAAATGCCATCTATCAAAATAGATTAGCCCTAAAATACTTATTGGCTGCGGAGGGAGAAGGGATATGTGAGAAGGTTAATTTTGCTAACTGCTGCATACAAGTAGATGACCAGAATCTGGCAGTAGAAGACCTTGTAGAAATGCAGAAAGTTGCCCATGTCCCTGTACAAACCTGAAGTGGGTGGAACCCAGAGTCTATGGGGAGAATAATTCTTCACCTTTAAAGGGTTCAAGACCCTTGTGGGTGGAGTCCTGTTTTATTTGGAATTTACTTAATCAGTCCATGCCTACTCCCACTAGCAATCAGGGCCATGGGAACTGCCATTTAAACAATAATCAACTGAAAAGGGTACCAACAATCCAAATCAATACCAAAATATCATTCCTTAGGCAACATTTAGATGATGCCCCTGGGGAAAAGGTCCCAAAGGGCATCAAAGAGGGGAATGAACAGGAAAAGGTAAAATTCACTCACCCTCTTTACCTCAGAGACAAGCTAGAATGCTAATCAGGTTACTGAATGGGACCAATCCCCCTGGTTTCCCTCCTGTCCTCAAACAGGTTTGCATCCTGACCCTTCCCCAAGTCTGACCCCCATATAAGTCCCTGTTGCCCTCCATTCGGGGCTCAGAATCTGGAGAAATCAGCTCCTATGAGCCAGCCGGCTTAACAAGGTCTAAAACAACACTTCACCTCTCTGAGTGGCCTTGGTTTCTTCGACCACAAATCTAAAACTGCTGTAACATTCCCCCTTCTTATAATGCCAAGTGTCTAACACAACGCTTAATACCGAGCAAACCCTCAAGGAATAGGGATTAGTGTTTTGGTCCTTTTCAGAACCAACTAGAAAGCTCACACTCTTAAGATGCAAATGTGCTGAAGAGCTGGGACAAATGTGAAATAACCCTAAAGATGCTTCACTATTGGCCACAGCACAGGACTGACACCATAGCCACATAGAACGCTGAATTCCAGACTGTGGCCCTGTTAACTCAATCTGCCCACTGTATTTTCAAGTTCCCAAGAAGAAAAAAATCTGTAGATATAAATGAACTAAAACCAAAAGGTGGAGACAGTCAGACACCATTTTAAGATTGGCACCAAATCCATCAATCCAGAGAACATTTTTAAATGGCAACAGCTGGACAAACACCTGGAGTCAGAAGGAAGAGGTCCTTCCCTCATTCTGAGCTGGGAGGATGTATCTGTATACTAGAGAACATAGCCAGGAGAGGGTCATATGGTCCTCATTCTCATAAATTCAAGGGGAGGTAGAAACCTTTAAGAAAGGTTAATGTAAGAAACCATGAACATCAGTGTGAGACAGATTTAAGTTCCACCCAACTTTGGGCCAGCCACATAGTCAGATGTCTTTAAGGCAAGCCATTTACTCTCTATATACCATAATGGTGGACTCCTGGCGAGGCGCTGCACGTTAATGCCCACCAAACCCACCTGCCGCTCCTCAGAAACCCTATATAGAGACGCTAATGGTAGAACCGATTTGACGGCTCTGGTAGCGTAGTGGTTACGAATCGGGCTGCAAACCTTAAGGTCAGTGGTTCGAAACTACCAGCCGCTCCGCCGGAGAAAGATGAGGCTTTCTACGCCCTTAAGGATTTACACCCTTGGAAACCCTGTACAGGGTCGCTATGGGTCGGGACCGACTCGAAGGCACTTAACAACAACAACACAACAACAACAACAATATACCATGATAATAGACTCCTGGTGTGGCGGTATAGTATCAGCACTGGACTGCGACCCACATGGTCGGCAGTTCAAGCCCACCAGTTGCTCCTTGGAAACCCTATATAGGGTCGCTGAGTCAGAACTGACTGGACAACACTTAACAACATACCATAATGATATAAGTTAATATCAACATATGTTAAAATAGAAACGTCGGTCAAATACAGACTCTATGGTTAGTTCCTTCCTGCTCCTCTTAACGAGGCCGGTCCGATCATACAGAACCTGATTTGACCGTCAGTGCCTAAACCCCTAAAGATAGGGTGCTGCTGGCGACAGGGTACAAAGAACGGCTCCCCTCCCCGCCGACAGTCAGCTGCGCGGGGGCACCTTTTCCTACCGAGCAGCTTGCTGGTCTGGATGTCGATGGGCACGTGCTGAAGGTCCTAAGGGGGAACAGCAGGGAGGGGGGGGTGAGTGTGTGAGGGGACGCGCCAATCGCGCGCTCATTTCACAGTCCCAACCGCCACCCTGTAGGACTGGAATGATGGGCCGGGAAGGGTCGCGTTCGGGGACAAGGCTGGGGAAACGGGTCCGGGACGGACAGGCTGGACACCGATTAGGAGTCCCTGGTTAGCCCCTCACTCCCGCAGCTACCGTACCGCTACCTGCATCTCTTCTCCACTTCCGCTTCCGGCGAGGAGACCCAAGCCCGCCTGCCCCGGAGTCCTACCACCAATCCTTTGTTGCTGTGGCTGAGCCACGTTGTAAGCACAAACAGGCCTCTGCGGCCACGTCACTACTTTCCACAGAGCCAATCGGAACGCACGCTCCACCCTGGCGCAAGCCCCACCCTTCTGCACCGGAATCAGCCAATGGGAAACGCGAGGCGGGTTCAGGCCCAGGGAGGAGCAGGAGCCTGAAAAGGACTACAGTAGCGATAGGCGGCGCCCGAGACCAAGCCACTTCCACCCTTGGCACCCGGGGAATCGTCTCAGCAGCGATTAATGAGCCGGCAAGCAAGGTCCTAGCTCTGGCCGGGAGCAGCATTTTCCCTTTTTCTCTCCATGTTTAGTGTCGAGGAGTAGGTCCGACTCATAGCGACTGTATAGGGTTTCCGAGATTATAAATCTTTTCGGGAGCAGGAAACCTCAAGGTTCTCTTGAGTTCAAACTGCCGACCTTGTGGTTAGCAGTCCAGGGCTTATCCTACACAACCACCACACTATGTTGTTGTTAAATGACGTCAGTGGACTCCAACTCGTAGCGACCCTCTATAGCTTGAACTGCCGACCTTTCCATTCAAACCAACCTTGCAGTCCAGTACATTAACCCGCAGCTTCACACCAGAACTTGCTGTCAATGGTAGTTTGTATATCTCTGTGGAACTTCTCACAGTTTTGCCTCCCATTCAGTTTATCTAGTAGATGCGTTGAACACTTTTTTGCTATGTGTATGAGGGCTGAGAAAAGGGAGAGAGGAGAGTCAGGGGAGGCATTCTAAAGATAATAGCTAAAGTGAGTCTCTTAAGGAAGAGCTGCAGAAAAGGAGGTGGTACCACCAGAAGGGACGTCCAGGTGGCAGGAGACTGCACAGACAAAACTGTGGAGCCAGAGATTGCAAGAGGGTGCAAGGAACAATACACAGGAATGAACAGCAATGTGATTTGTGGGGCCCACTGTAAAGCCCCTTATTCCATCATTATTAAGAACTAAGCACACAAATTGTAAATGCCTGTTTATGTGGCACTCTCCCCACTAGATTGTGTAGGGTATTGTGTCTTTATAATAAGAACTATTTATATGTATTTTTAAATAGTCCTGGAGTCCTGGTGTGGCTCTGTGGGGTAATGCACTGGACCACAAGGTTAGTTTGAACTGCAAGGTTGGAGGTTCAAATTCACCAGCCACTCCTTGGAAACTAACTACACAGGGTGGATATGAGTAGGAACCGACTCGACAGCATTTAACAAGAACAATTATATAGTCCTGGGGTGGCACTGTAAGATAAGCACTGGACTGCTAAATGGAAGGTTGGCAGTTCAAATCCACCAGCTGCACCTTAAAAACCCTATTTAGGGTCGCTATGAGTAGGATGGCACTTAACAACACAACATTATATAGGTTCACTGTAAGTTGGAATTGACTTGGAAAAAAGAAGAACAAAATTAAGCTTAGCATTAAGAACACTGCTGGCACTGTAGGTCTTGGTGACAATTCAAACCCAACATCCTTTCTGTAGGAGAAAGATGAAGCTTTCTGATCCTGTAAAGATTTACAACCTCAAAATTGTATGAATTTGTTATGAATCAGAACTGTTATGAACCAGAATTGACCTCATGGTACCTAACAACAAGCAGAGAATTCAATTGAGTGCCAGGTTTTATGTGACTACAAGGCTCCTGCCCATGAAGTCAGTCTCTGCAATAAAAGAGTCAAATCAGGAAGAGACCTGCAATGAGGTTGCAAAGCTGGAAAGTCAAATTGTAGGGAACCTTAAGGAACTTAGACTTCACCCCTTGTAGGCAGGGAGGAACCATGGGAGGGTTTTAAGGGTTCCAAGCAGGGAGGGAACTGTACAGAACTGCATCTTTGCTGAAGTTCTCAAATGTCTGCAAGCAGGAGTGATTCCTGGAGATAGGGACTGTCTATCTGCAGATAGGGACTGTCAGGAGCTTGTAATCTGAAGGTTAGGACCTGAACTGGGCCAGCACCATGGGGAGGAAGAGAAGGGATGGATTTAAGTGATGTTTAGAAAGAAAATGAATAGGACTTGGCATTTGATGTCTTAGGGTAGGGTAGAAGAAGGAAACATCAAAGGTGACTTGGAAGTGCAGAGTGGGAGTGCAGAGCAGATGTTGGAAAGAAGGGGATCTCCACTTTGAACTTGAGGGGTTGGTGGTGTTGGGAGATGTCCAAGTGGAAAGTGAGCAGATGGCAGTTGGTTTACCATCCTGGAGTCATCGACTCTGAAACTCCAGCTCTAGAGAGGAAGGAGAGTGTGTGGGCCAAGGACAGGTCCCAGGGGATCTTGTCCCTCTGTCCAACCAGGTCATTAGCTCCTTCAGGAGGCTCTGCCTGGTTCTGTCTAGGTCTCCCTCCTCCCAGCGCAGCACTGGGGAGCTCAGGACATTTTTGTTAAACTTGGTGGTGTGGTGCAGCTGTAGGATCTAGATTCCTGCTCAATGAGATCTTGGACCATGGCCAGAACTTCTCTGTTAACCACTGTCTCCTCAACTATAGCTTGGAGCTAGCACCTTTCCTGACTGTCTCAGGGTAGTGGTGGTGGTGAGAGGTGCTGTGGAGTGGGTTCAGACTCATAGTGACCTGGATAGGGTTTCCGAGGCTATAAAAATCTCAGGAGCAGAAAGCCTCATCTTTCTCCTGCAGAGCGGCTGGTAGATTCGAACTGCTGTCCTTATGGTTTACAGCCCAACTCATAACCCACTATACTATCAGGACTGCTTTATATATGTGTGGTATAATGTTACAATTATATATACATATAAAATGTTATATATATACATATTATTGCTAAGTGCTGTCAAGTCACTTCCAAGGAGCAGCTGGTGGTTTTGAACTGCTGACCCTGTGGTTCTAAGTCCAGTGCTGATCCTACAGTGCCACACCAGGAGTCCATATACACATATATATAACATTATACGCTCATATAATCTTCATAATTATTCACTAGCCACTTCTCAGAAATCCTATTCAGGGCCGCTAGGAGTCAGAACCAACTGGACAGCACTTACCACCACCACCAACATTATAGACTAGAGTGGGTTAACTCCCTGGAGAGGACTCAGGGCAGAAGGAAGCCTCCACAGGATTCTCTCATGGGAATCTGGCTCCCTATCAAAGGCCTGACTCAGGCCTTAGGAATGGCTCGGGCTCCCCTGTGATTCAACAAACACTCACTGGACTCCAGCTATGTGCTCTGGGCTCTTGGGGACAACCCAAGAAGCATGGCAGCCGCACCCTCAAGGTGCATCTCTCCTCCTTGAGCCAACACATTGGGCAGAGCCAGAAAAGGCGGGCCTGGAAGACCCACCCTGGTGAGTTGGTGGAGGCAGAGACCACTGGCATTCCATCCCCACCCACAGAGGGCAGGAGGATGTCCAACCACCAGCCCCATGGAGTCTGCCCCAGAGTGCCTAGGGGCATGGACTTTGGGTGGCGTTCTGTTCTGGTTGTCCTTTTCCAGGACCATAGGGTTAGGGGCTTATGAGCAGATAAGACCTGTCTGGGGGACTCAGGCAGAGCTGAGCCTGCTCAGGATGGAAAACACAGAGCCCCAGGGTACCACGCATGCATCCTTTGTTGTTGTTAGCTTGCTTATTAAGTGATAACCACCACGTGCTGGTGTAGAGCGAACTGCTTTTACAAGCCTTATCTAATTTGATCCTTCCAACAACCTTATAATGTGGATACTATTATTAGACTGATTTTAAAGGCAAGGAAGCCAAAGCTTGGCTAGTTAAGTAATTTGTCCAAGGTCATATTGCAGGTAATTGGTGAGGCTGGGATTCAAACCCAGGCCTGTCTGGCTCCCTTGCCTGCACTCTTGTTTTCTGTGCAATGAGCCTTTGTTTTTCCTGCACCTGCCTGCCCTATTCACTGTCAGCTACAACAGCCCCAACACTTCCCCTGACTCCCACATTCTCACCAGCTGTACCAGACACTTAGAACCCCCACCTCTGCAGTCCCTGCCACTCTCCAAAGTCCTATCTTATCACAACTGATTCTGGGCAAGAACATCTACTTCTTATCCTCATGCAATATCCAAAAAGAGAAGTTATACCGATATCCTATTGACATTCAAATAAGCCCTTTTTATCCACTATGTATTTATTATTTTATAGTTTGCATGTCTTCTGTGTTTCTGCTTGACTACAGAATGTGTGTGTTTCTCTGCCTGCTGGGCTGGAATCTGGTTTGGATTTCTTGCTGCTGGGAGTGGAATCTGCCTGTCTCTCTGTGTGCGCTTTCTCTCCTCCACACCCCCTCTCCCACCCCATGTAGTCTTCTCAACTAGTCTATGAATACCTCATTACCAAATGCATGGACTTGCTTACCTCTTTAACTCCAGCCCGGGCTAGATACCTGAAGCTGAGTAGATGCTTGTGTCCTGTGGAGTCGGTTCTGACTCATAGCGACCCTGTACAGGGTTTCCAAGGCTGTAAATCTTTATGGGAACAGAAAGCCTCATCTTTCTCCTGTGGAACAGCTGGTAGTTTTGAACTGCTGACCGTGAGGTTCGCAGCCCGATTCATAACCACTACGCTACCAGAGCTCCTTGGTTAGATGCTTGTTGTTGTTGTTGTTGAGTGCCTTCGAGTCGATTCCGACCCCATAGCGACCCTGTATAGGGTTTCCAAGGAGCAGCTAGTGAGCTTGAAACACCAACCTTGCAGTTCAAATGACGTTTCAGTCTGATGCATTAGCCCACAGCGCCACACCAGGACTCCAAGCAGATGCTTAGCTTAGTGGATGCTTTTAAGGGAAAGCACAGGACCTTGTAGAGGGTGCATCCCTAAACAGGAAGGCATTTAATGAAGGTGGTGGTTGTGATTGGGGGCCATGGGCTCATGGTCTGGAAGGCCTAGGCAATGACTAAAGAAGGGGGCAGGGGGTCTCCCAACTCCTTTCCTCTCTGGAGATCTTGAGATAAAAGGGAGGAAATCAGAACTGGTTACCTTGAAGAGTTAA